ATTAAATTATTTACTATATAATTTTTATATTAGTAAAATTTTTTTTATAAAAGATATATAATAAAAATTTTTACATTCAGATAAATCCTAATACCTAATAACTTAGAATTAAAATTTTATTTTGAAAAAATAATCTATTAATATTTATTTGATGAACCAATCTTTTTGCACCGGACCATATTTTATTATTAGCTAATCACATGTACCTGCGATTACCGTAGAAATACGAAAATAAGCTAACTTCTTTGCACGATTTCAAGGGTTGCTTACCTTTTGCACTCGATTTTGTGCTGTAAATGAGGGTAGCTTATTTTCGGATTTCTACGGTAGCGTGATCGTTATAACGTGCATATCAGATATTGAATTGTTATAGGATAATGAATCAGACTTGGATTTTTTTCTCTTTTATCGTATATGTAGATAGACTCTCTAAATGCACCCCTTGGGACCAGTAATAAGCATGCTTTAGGGAGAGTGAGCATTTATAGAAAGTATAACAATAAAAGATCTTATAAACTTGGAGGCTGAGTCATACCATACATTAAAGAAGGTGTGCGTTATAGAGGGTAAATTTAGAAAGGTTTATCTAAGAGGTATTTGCATGAAATACATGCAATATTATTTAGCAATTTAATATTATTATAACATTGAAAATATATTAAATAATGTTTATACACTTTACGCTCGTTGCATCGATCTGTCAGCTGAAAAATTAATCCTCTTTAACATAAAAGTTACTAATAAAAATCGCAGTATAAAATTTCCAATCTACGTATTGCTCCTCAAGTGATCCATTTTAACAAAGGTAGAGTGTATGCTAATTTGAATTTTATTTTTTCATTGATATTGTTCTTTATTAATGGTCGTATGGTATACATCTTTCTAATAATTCAATATTATTGGAGCAATAACATTTGCAATAACATTTGAAAGAGATTTGTAATTATAATTGATAGAGCATTTAGATCGCGCTGCATATTATATATACAATACTACATGTATATACACATTTTGCTATATTCGTGTATTTATATTGTATACATTGGATGCTTGAGTCGTTAGATCTCCTTTTTCACTATATTCACACATCTTTAAGTAATTGTATTTACAATACTATATATATAATGCACACATTATGCTATATTTTATGTATATACATTGTATATTGAACATATGGCTGCTTGAGTCGTTAAGGCCCCTTTTTACTATATTTATCACACATCCTTAAGTAATTGAATTATGTTGTTATCGTAGGCTAAGAGAAATAATATACACAAATGAGTCTTTAACATAATGAAATGATAGAATATGAAACCACAGCTATTAATGCTCTCCATTTATATAATGAAAATGCACAATTTTGATCTTTCGTACTTCGATTATTCAAACGAATGAATTGAATATTGTGTTGTATAAGCTTTATATAAATATGTTGCGAAAAAATAATATAAAAGAAAGATGCTCGTCTGTTGGAATTTACGTATTCAGTCAAGTTATTTTCCACAAATATGGGCGAGGTCCATTTCGTTGTTAATAACGAAGATGATACGGATGAAGAAGTATTCGCGAAATATTATGAACCTCCTTCTTTAGACGACTTTAAAGAGCTAAGTAAATGTGCACCGTTTATTCTTTTTCGTATAAAGGTCAACAAAGCTTTGCAAAAGGGTGGAAGAGTAAAAACAGCAGGGAAAATCTCTAGACTCGCGTCAAAATTGTGGGATACAATGCATGATGATGAAAAATATCAATACGAACAATTGTCAACTGTATTATCCCATCAACCTGATAATTGGACAAATATCTCTTCGATGCAATACCTGCAAATATTAACTTCTAACGCTAACTTGCCTGGATCCGAGTTATCCCGTGTCGATGTGTCAAATACCTCTTCGATGGATCACCAAATTCCTAACGTTAACTTGCCTGGATCTGAGTTATCCCGTGTCGATGTGTCAAATACCTCTTCGATGGATCACCAAATTCCTAACGTTAACTTGCCTGGATTCGAGTTATCCCGTGTTGATGTGTCAAATACCTCTTCGATGGATCCTAACGCTAACATGCCTGAATCCGAGTTATCCCGTGTCGATGTGTTAGATATCTCTTCGATGGATTATCAAATTCCTAACGCTAACATGCCTGGATCCGAGTTATCCCGTGTTGATGTGTCAAATACTTCTTCGATGGATCACCAAATTTCTAACGTTAACTTGCCTGGATCCGAGTTATCCCGTGTCGATGTGTCAAATACCTCTTCGATGGATCACCAAATTCCTAACGTTA